ATGTCTCCACCTCTAGGTGGCACTGTACACTCCCACAGAGAGGTGGAGAGAAGAAGTGTGTATGCTGCTCCAGTCATCATCTCAGGCGCATGTGTTCATCTCAGGCGCATGTGTTCATCTCAGGTGCATGTGTTCATCTCAGGCGCATGTGTTCATCTCAGGTGCATGTGTTCATCTCAGGCGCATGTGTTCATCTCAGGTGCATGTGTTCATCTCAGGTGCATGTGTTCATCTCAGGCGCATGTGTTCATCTCAGGCACATGTGTTCATCTCAGATGCATGTGTTCATCTCAGGTGCATGTGTTCATCTCAGGCGCATGTGTTCATCTCAGGTGCATGTGTTCATCTCAGGTGCATGTGTTCATCTCAGGCGTATGTGTTCATCTCAGGCGCATGTGTTCATCTCAGATGCATGTGTTCATCTCAGATGCATGTGTTCATCTCAGATGCATGTGTGTGTTCATCTCAGGTGCATGTGTTCATCTCAGATGCATGTGTTCATCTCAGATGCATGTGTTCATCTCAGGTGCATGTGTTCATCTCAGATGCATGTGTTCATCTCAGGCGCATGTGTTCATCTCAGATGCATGTGTTCATCTCAGGCGCATGTGTTCATCTCAGGCGCATGTGTTCATCTCAGATGCATGTGTTCATCTCAGGCACATGTGTTCATCTCAGGCACATGTGTTCATCTCAGATGCATGTGTTCATCTCAGATGCATGTGTTCATCTCAGATGCATGTGTGTGTTCATCTCAGGTGCATGTGTTCATCTCAGATGCATGTGTTCATCTCAGATGCATGTGTTCATCTCAGGTGCATGTGTTCATCTCAGATGCATGTGTTCATCTCAGATGCATGTGTTCATCTCAGGCGCATGTGTTCATCTCAGATGCATGTGTTCATCTCAGGTTCATGTGTTCATCTCAGATGCATGTGTTGATCTCAGATGCATGTGTTCATCTCAGGTGCATGTGTTCATCTCAGATGCATGTGTTCATCTCAGATGCATGTGTTCATCTCAGGTGCATGTGTTCATCTCAGATGCATGTGTTCATCTCAGGTGCATGTGTTGATCTCAGATGCATGTGTTCATCTCAGATGCATGTGTTCATCTCAGATGCATGTGTTGATCTCAGATGCATGTGTTCATCTCAGGTGCATGTGTTGATCTCAGATGCATGTGTTCATCTCAGATGCATGTGTTCATCTCAGGTGCATGTGTTCATCTCAGATGCATGTGTTCATCTCAGGTGCATGTGTTCATCTCAGATGCATGTGTTCATCTCAGGTGCATGTGTTGATCTCAGATGCATGTGTTCATCTCAGGTGCATGTGTTCATCTCAGATGCATGTGTTCATCTCAGGTGCATGTGTTCATCTCAGATGCATGTGTTCATCTCAGGTGCATGTGTTCATCTCAGATGCATGTGTTCATCTCAGATGCATGTGTTCATCTCAGGTGCATGTGTTCATCTCAGATGCATGTGTTCATCTCAGGCGCATGTGTTCATCTCTACAACAGCAGAAGGATGAACAGATGTTTCCTCCAGATGAAGGCGGAGGAGCTTTGGAGCCCTCAGGTGACCCGATGACCCCAGGAGGTTTGCACCACCAGCAGGAGGCGCTGTAAGTGACGTTTGCAGCATGAAACGCATCTAAATGATTTATGATGTAAACACTAGACTGTAGATCACACTTTAATATCCATGAGTTGTCACACCTGCAGTCCTGATCAAGGATCGTCTCGTTGTTTTGTAGCTGGATGGAAAACTTCCGTTTGGAGTGAACAGAAAAAGATCAAAGCTCCTAAAGTTGGATTTTTGGTTACAGATGAACTTCATGAAGAGTTTAAAACCAGGGTGCTGGACCACGGGAGCAGCTCTTGTTGTCGGTCCTGGAGGAATCGGGTCAAATCAAATCAACTTTATTTATGAAGCGCTTTCACATGGCCAAGAGGGACAAACAAAGCACTGTACACCAATAAAAAGCACCACAATAGGACAGACATACAACCATTTATAATACAATACGAAATCCTGAGTGAAAGTTCGCAATCCATATCCGGCCTACTTCCCCCAACTTCAATGTCCCAACGCCAGCGAGAACAGATGTTTTTAGTCTGCTTTTAAAGGTTTCCAATGATTTGGCCTGCTTTACATCAGCTGGCAGCTCATTCCAGAGACTTGGTCCAAGTATTGAAAAGGCACGACTCCAGCGAGACTTCAGGCTGTACCTGGGCATGGTTAGTAATCTCTGGTCAGCTGACCTAAGGGAACGCACCGGGACATGCTGGTGGATGATATCAGCAAGATATTTAGGTTCCCCTGAGTTTAACGCCTTAAACACAAACAGGAGGACCTTAAACCTGATGCGATAGGAGACAGGGAGCCAATGCAAGGCACGTAGGACTGGTGTTATATGTTCAGACCTCCTGGTAGATTTTAGCAACCGAGCTGCAGAGTTCTGAACCGCCTGGAGGCGTGCTACTGGAGCTTGTCTAAGCCCCGCATATAGCGAATTACAGTAATCCAGCCTGCAGGTAATAAAGGCATGGATTACAGTTTCCAAATGACTATGGGACAGAAAAGGCTTAATTTTCGCTGTGCAGCGTAGATGAAAAAAGCAAGATCTCACAACACTGTTCACTTGAGCATCAAATCTGAGCTCTGCGTCCAGTTTTACCCCTAAGTTAGAGACCACCGCCTTCTGATGCGGTGCCAGAGTGTAAAAATCAAGCCCTTGGGCACCTCCTGGGGTCTTAGGTGGCGTGAACAGAATAACTTCAGTCTTGTGTTCGTTGAAACACAAGAAGTTCTGAGCCAGCCATTGCTTGATGTCCTCAAGGCAGTCCAACAGAGGTTGAATGGTGCATAAACCACCACGCTTAATTGGAAAAATGACCTGGCAATCATCAGCATAGAGATGGAATGACACATTGTGTTTACAAAATAGTTCACCCAGGGGTATGAGATATAAGGAGAAAAATAGTGGGGCCAAAATCGATCCCTGGGGAACTCCCCATGGCAGCTCAGCCAGATCGGAGCAACAGTCCCCCAACCTCACACAAAAACTCCTCCCAGTCAGGTACGATCGTATCCACTGAAGTGCCTGGCCCGTAATGCCAACAGACCGCTCCAGCCGTTTAACCAGGATGTTATGATCAACGGTATCAAAGGCTGATGACAGGTCCAAGAGCACCAGAACCACAGCATCACCAGAATCATTTGCCAATAAAATGTCATCAAGGACCTTAAGCAGCGCCGATTCAGTGCTATGAAAGGGTTTAAACCCAGATTGAAATACTTCTCCAATTTCCCGTTCCTGTAGAAAAGACATCAGTTGGATAAACACAGCCCTCTATGATCTTTGAGATGAAAGGGAGTGTAGATACAGGTCTGTAATTGGACAAGATTGTGGGGTC